GGAACAGCCTGAGATCTGTCATGTACCTGCTGACCAATAGAGTCAGGTAGAATAACACACACGTTTCACTTGAAATATCAATAAGCAATACGCATATACAAATATCAGTTCTGTAGCTGTCACACAAGTTATTGTCAAGTGATTCATTGGCTTCTGGTAACATCTGAACTCCTCCACTCAACCTGAGATGCTTGTTGATTGATTTTTTTTGCAGGAAGTGGGGCGTGCTGGGATTGTTTAAAGGCCTGGAGGCGAAGCTGCTTCAGACGGTCCTCACTGCTGCACTCATGTTCTTACTGTACGAGAAGATCGCCAACACCACCTTCAGGGTCATGGGGGTCAAACGCACAATGGCGTCCCACTGACCTCTCACAGGATGTTTATTAGCTCGCTGATGTCACAGGAACGGAGTATACCTGTTATACCTTTAATTTTTAGAAATGGAGGAAATAGACAGACACACTTAACTCAGTTTGTGTTCCTCATGATCTTTAAAACATTTTGATCTATAGGCTTCTGCTTAAAAATCATTTTCGGTAATTGAAATAAATATACTGTTTGCTTCTAAAATAAAATATAAATATTAGGAGACAAAAAACTTAAACGAACATTAGAAATGTTGCTTTGGCAGCTAACTGAAGTAAATAATTAAGTTGTATGTACAAAAATGAAAAAAAAAAAAAAAGAATTAAAGAAAAAAATACTTAAACACTAATATTAGAATGAAAACTGAAAATACAAAAACAATAGCTAATTCAAAATACTAATAATGCTTTATTAATATATACATAATACTAAAATAACACCGATTCAAAGATTACAAGGTTTAAAGTATAAACTAGATATAAAATGTGGCTAATTCAAGGAGGATAAAATAGAGAACATTTTTGATTTTTGCGTAATCCATTTGTGTTATTTCATAGTTTAATGACTTTACTATTATTCAGAAATGTGTCCAAATATTTGATAGTGTATTAATATAAATAATTATTCGGTGAATACCTTGGTCAGTATTTTATTTAGGTTTTTAAAGAGCATTTAAATATGAACTTGTTTTATTTATGAATACCAACAGATCTGGACTGGTTTACATAGTGTCAAAAACAAAATAATGCATGTGACAGATTTGTTTTGTAAAGATCATTGCTGTCGACTATGGAAGCTGATCTTAGACCAGCCTTCCTGCATTGATACAGTTTATCATACGAAAACAACTTCCAGGCTGGTTTTTCTGTTTCTGTGTAGGTGATACTTGATTTGACTTCACAACACAAAGCCACTGAGACGTAATGGACCTTTAACCTAAAATGTATAGAGTCTGGACATAACCAATACATTTCATCTTTTTTGATAAGGGGATGTGAAATAACCAGCAAGTGTTTCAACTTCACAAGAATCACCACGTCTGAATTGTGAATGTTGTACACAGAAAGTTTAAGACACCAAGGCTCAGGTACATGCTTTATAGCTTTATATAGACTCATTAGAATCCATTCTGAATTTTAGATAAAAGAGTAATAAAGTAGTAAAAGCATTTCCCTCTCAGCACTGATGTTCACACTGTACTGGAATGTAAGTTGAGTCATACAGTTTCAGTTATGTATGAATGTAAAATGTTTGTTTATTCTTGAATGTCAATGATTCTATTAACGCTGATTAATATATTTATTAATAATCACACATCCAGGGTCAGTCAGATGATTCAAAATCGAAATAATTTAGATTATTCATGTATGACTACTTAGATTTTATAATTGATGTCACATAAAAATTGTGTAATATGTTTCTACAATAAAATAATTGATCAATGATAATGTGGTATGAAATTGATTGTTTTGTGTAAGTTTTATCTTTGCTTTCAATGGAAACAACCTATGTTTTAATAGGGTCAGAAAGATAATTGCATAAATTGGCCTCCAGGAGGCAGTAAGATCACTCTTTTTGTGCTGTACTTCAACTAAAAACTCAAAGGGAAAATTCAATTTTCCATGACTTGATTATTTATTAAAGATTTTTTTTTTATAATGATTTATTCATCCATTCATTTTAATTAAAATAATTAAAATGTTTTTACTGATTACACACTTATCGTTACTATTGTTATCATTATAATTATTATTACTATTGCTAATGTTGGTAGGCAATACATTGTCTTCCTTCAGGGGTTGCTTGAGTGCTCAGAAAGCCGAATCCTCCATTTTGAGAAAATAAAAATAAACAAAGATATAAGATATTTATGCACTTTAAAGTAGCCTATAATATTTAAATATTAATTACATTAAAACAATTTAATATTAAATTTTTATTGTATCAATAATAATAATGTACTTGCTAATTAACATGTTGCACATCTATTCCTGTAGTAAAATCTCAACGCTGAGCATTCCACCACAACCGGTGAGCTTTCTAATTGGCCCACTTATTCCCCCGAGAACATCGAGCAGCGATATGATTGGCTTAGTGGATTGCACTATCTATTATAATTTGACCTCGTCCGTCCCTGTCGCGGCAGTCATCTGAATGATCCTATTGGCTATCCGCAATACCATTCTTCAGAGTACTCGCCCACTATTGGATGAGTCCTAAAAACAGGCGGGGTTCCGGTTGAAGTTTACTGGATATCGGAAACGTTTAGTGGAGTGCAGACCAGTGTAATACCAATACATGGGATGGATCAAGCTCTGTAAGGTAAGGCAACTGTTAAACTTATTATTTTTAAGACTTAATTTGACACGCAGCCGCTGTGCATGCGCAGTCATTTCTTTGAATACTTTCAGGGTGTTTAATATTGCATTATAAGCTTGCTGGAAGTTGTACTGTGGAGCAGCAAGCACATGGCCTGGGTTTGCTTGTCAGGTTACTGTGCCATATGTTTGCTGGGTGAAACAGCATCTTTTTTTGGGCTGTCAAACGTTTGACTGAAGGTTATAAGGGATACAGGTCACCTTGGCAACAGTGGGCAAGGGAGGGTGCTTGTGGTCCTGATGCTGTGAAGGTGGGTCTGTTATGTAACATGCATCATGGCATGGTGTCTTTATCCTTTTATTGCATGCATCTGTCATTAGGTGGGTTGGCTTGTTATGACAGCTCTTAACATATGTTATTTAGGGCTTTTTAGGTGCGTTATTTTGCCTTTGGGTCAAAAGTACTACGGTATTGCTGTAGTATTTTGGACATGGCAATACCATGTTTTCTGCACTTTTAAATTAAGGTATTGTCCTACCATGTAAATACCAGAGTGTATGAATACTGCAATCATACAGTACCAAGATGTGTTGGAGTATCATGGTAACACCATCATATTCAGGCTCTTTACTTTTTGTCTGGTCATAAAAATGCATTTGAACTGCATTACACCGTTATAAACAATAGTGTAATGTCCTGTTTTGCATTAACGTTAATGGTTATTAAGCTTGTTAGGGTTCAAGGTTTTGTTGTAAGTGTCTTGAGATGTATCGCATGATGCATGAGACTTAATGATCGCTCTTTCTGTCACATCAGTATTTTAACTGCAGGATGGAAACATGAATACACGATATTCCACGCATAATACGGTACGGTATTATGATCAACAAGCATGACGTGTGTGTTCAAACTAAGTCAGCTTATGATTCATAGTGACAATATAAAGTGGGACGAAACTCAGACTTCTTCATCATCTCACACAGGAGACTTTGAGATAAACCAGCTTCAATTTATAAAAACGACAGTCTCCAGTATTTATGTCAGTGTGTCTCTTATGCCTGCGTTCTTTTAGTCACTCTCACGTTCATGCTTTTTGACTCAGGTTTCAAAGGAATTTTCCGGGTTAAAAACAAGTTCAGTTTTATCAACGGCAGAAATGTGCAACTTGTACTTTCGATAAAGCACTTAATTCGTCCTCGTGAAAGTATGTGTTGTTTAAGTCGTCTAAATGGTCCTTTTAGTGGTGGAACTGCTGTTCTAGGTGGATTAAGTTCTGGTTCGATTTACTGAAAAAAAATCTAGTGTGTGGATTTCTGTCTATGTTAATAGTCCTGTTCTGGTATCTTTGTGCATTCTGAAGGATGAGTCAAAATTATTTTCTGTGGCATGCTGTTAAAATAGAGCTTTTATTGAGCCCAGAACATTCCTCTGTGCAACAAAAAATGATAGAGAGCTCAGCAAGGCCCAGTGTGAGTGGGTTTCAGGCCTTTGGATACCAATGTTGTTATTGTTTTGTTTCTATAAAAAAAAATCTTCAGGTAATTAGAATAAAGCTGATATAAAAACTTAAAGACAAAAGCACATAGCAAAACTTTTTAACTTGAACTAAAGTTACAATGAGAATTCAAAGTATAAAAATAAAAGTAATTCAAAATATTAATAAATATAATGCTAAAATAACATTGGTTGATACTGAACATTTTAGATTCATGGTCTTGTGCACGCATATATATTCCTTGCAAACTTTCTGTGATGCATTTCGCGTTATCTTGGTGACAAGTCAGCAGAATTTGCAACAACAATGTTATCTAGCTGGCTAACGTAGATGAGGTTTTGTGGAAACTTGCTAAAATGACTTATCTTAGACAGTCTTAGAAACATCATTCTCATGAAGTGTTGAACACTAGGAAGCAGCGAGTATTGTTTTGCACTGTGCAAGTGTGTATTGAATGTTTTCCAGCAAAAGTTCAGGAAATTATGAAGTTGCATTATAGCTGTATCATTACCAGCGTCTAGTTTAAAAGGAAAAGTAAAGAAAACTTTGCATGGAATGAAATATATGAATATTTATTAAATAGTAATATTTATTAAATATTTATTCAAATAAAATATAAGTACATTTAAATATTTCTAACAAAATATAAATACTTTTAACAAAATACAAATTGATCATTCTTTTGTGCTTAATGCCCCTAATGTAAATAGATCTCATAGATGTCTTTTTATTAGCTAATTTTGTGCTTTTTCTTTTCTTATTTTTCTTTCTTTCATTTAGTGGTGCCCCACACCTGGCATGGAATTACATGGACTTTTTTGAGCAGGAAATAAATCAGGTAACCGAATCACAGGCACCTACAACTAAACACCTTTGGGTATTTCCCCCCTGTCAGATATTTTTGATGAAATCAGAGAGCTTTCTGACCCTGGATAGACAGCAACAAGTACCACGTTCAAGGTATGTACAACATACAACAAGATACTAACAACATGCTAGTAACTTGCTAATCATGTTAACAACATGCTAGTAACTTGCTAATCATGTTAACAACGTGTTAGAAACATGCTAATCATGCTAGAAACATGCTAGTAATTTGCTAATATGTTGTTAACATGATTAGCAAGTTACTAGCATGCTAACAACATGTTAGTAACATGCTAATCATAATAAAAACATGCTAGTAACATGCTAATCATGCTAGTAACTTGTTAATCATGTTAACAACATGCTAGTAACTTGCTAATCATGTTAACAACATATTAGCAAATTACTAGCATGTTTCTAGCATGATTAGCATGTTTCTAACACGTTGTTAACATGATTAGCAAGTTACTAGCATGCTAACAACATGTTAGTAACATGCTAATCATAATAGAATCATACTAGTGACATGTTAATCATATTAAAACATGCTAGTGACTTGTTAATAATGCTGGCTAGATGCTAATAATGCTAGCAACATGTTAATAACTTGATAATTATGCTAGCTACATGTTAGAAACATGCTAATCATGTTAACAACATAATCATGCTAGAAACATGCTAGCAACATTCTAATCATGCTGGAAAAATGTTAGGAACATGCTAGTAACTTACTAATCATACTAGCAACATGCTACAAAAATGTTAATCATGTTAGCAACATGCTAGTAACTTGCTAATCGTGCTCGTAACATGCTACAAAAACGCGAATCATGCTAGCAACATGCTAGTAACTTGTTAATCATGCTAACAACATGCTAGTAACATGTAAATCATAATACAATCATACTAGTGACATGCTAATCATGTTAAAACAAGTTAGCAAAATGCTAGTGACTTTCTAATTTTGCTAGCTACATGCTAATCATGCTAGCAACATGCTAGTAACTTGTTAATCATGCTAACAACATGCTAGTAACATGTAAATCATAATACAATCATACTAGTGACATGCTAATCATGTTAAAACAAGTTAGCAAAATGCTAGTGACTTTCTAATTTTGCTAGCTACATGCTAATCATGCTAGCAACATGCTAGTAACTTGCTAATTATGTTAGCTACATGCTAGAAACATGCTAACAACATAATCATGCTAGAAACATGTTAGCAAAATGCTAGTAACTTGCTAATTATGTTAGCGACAGGCTAGAAACATGCTAATAATGTTAACAACATAATCATGCTAGAAACATGCTAGCAACATGTTAATCATGCTGAAAACATGTTAGCAACATGCTAGTAACTTACTAACCATACTAACAACATGCTACAAAAATGCTAATCATGTTAACAACATGTTAGTAACTTGTTTATCGTGCTCGCAACATGCTACAAACATGCTAATCATGCTAGCAACATGCTAGTAACTAGTAATCATGCTATTAACTTGTTAATTATGCTAACAACATGCTAGAAACATGCTAGTAACATGTTAATTATGCTATCAACATGCTAGTAACACGCTACTCTTGCTAGAAACATTAACAACATGCTAATCATGCTTTCAAACTTCAAGCTTTTACAACTTTTTCAAACTTTCAGACTAGGCTTTTTCAAGCCAACTTCAAAGTTTGTCTACGAACTTTACTATCTAGTTCTGCTTAATATTCTGCCCCCATCTGTACATGTGAGAATCTTGCAGTCCCTTTTCCCAACACTTCCCTCTTTTCATCATCTCTCAGCACATTTTACTTACCACAAATGGCTCCCACTCTTATTTTTAGTAGTACTACCCAGACATGTTCTGTGAACCAAACAAAAGGGAAGTAAAACAAGGAAATTAGAGGAGAAATAAATGACTTTGCAAAGCAATTGTGGTGTGAATCCGAGTTGTAAACAGAATGTGCCTGTCAATCATGTTTTCCCAATTGTGACATCATTCATCACCATGGTGATAGATTCCAGCAGCACTGTTTTGCTCAGATGGCCTGTTGACTAAGCTGTTATCTACTCGTCTCTTTATCTCTGTACTCAAATCCTGTAGAGAGAAATGCATTTTTGAAAACACATGATACTCTTTCTATCAAAACCAATTCTCTTGTTCTGCAACAAAGCGTTCATTTTCTGCTAACTTTCTGTTGTAGAGGGATAGTTTGATCTGTATGACTTTTTTCTGTTCAACAAAATGAGACAAATACTGTAACACAATCAAATCACCAAGAGCTCAACAAAAAGCCCCACTGAATCAATAGAATTTACTAACATTTGAGATTCATAAATATAGCAGTCTTTTTTTTTTTTTTACATAATTAGGCTCAAATTAAGAAAAATCTTAAAATATTGCTCAAATATAATTAGGCTATACCAAGTAAATGAGCTGAACTACTTCACTTCTCCTGAGCTTGAGTTTGCAGCTTTGTTGACGTTCTCAGTAAACAAGCTGAATTAACTGCGATTTCCCTGTTATTCAAAGCAAGGTAATAGGATCTGACACTGATCTTTTTTTTCTGAAGGGGGATTTTTGTAACTTGAGATCAGTTCTGAAGGAAGCAGACTTTTTTTTTTACTTAGGTTTTTGTAGAAATTATTTAAAAAAGAGAAATCTGTGATTTAATGGTTAGATTATGTTATAATAGTTTCTTTAAAGGGGTCATATGATGCTTTTTAAAGATCCTTATTTTGTGAATTTGGTGTAACAGAATATGTTGACATGCTTTAATGTTCAAAAAACACATTCTTTTTCAAATACTGTACATTATTGTAGGTCCTCTATGCCCCGCCTCTCTCAAACGCTTCGTTTTCTACAAAGTCCCTCCTTCCGACAAGCGCAGTCTGCTCTGATTGGCCAGCTGACCCAGTGCATTGTGATTGGCCGAACACCGCAAGCACTCGTCGGAAATGTAACGGCCCCTTACCATAATCGGGAGCTTTATCTTTCAAAATAAATGTAAAGACAGAACCCGAAAGGGGAACAGAGTCGCGTGACAGACACAGTGATGAAGCTGGTATATGTTTGCAGTACACAAGCTATGGTTAAGACTGCTGACTCCACTGTGATCTCTCTCTCTCACACACACACACACTCACACAGAATGCACAAAACTCCGCATTTGAACAGTCAATAGCAAATACTTAAACTAATAACAAAACAGTAGCTGATTCAGAAGCGCCAGATTGTCATAGCAAAGTCAGAATTACCTCCTCTCCTAGGTTCACGAAACGGTCATCCATAAAATGCATTGCTGTTCTGTTGTAATTGATCTTAAAGATTCCTAAATGCATCTACTTTCAGAAGGCCAAATAAAGTGTTTTTGCTTTCGCCTAGAAACACACAGCGTCTCCCTGACATGCTGCTTCAACACTAACTGCGGTTACTAAAACCACGCCTTCTTTCTTTGTGTGCACATTTGGGCGCATTATGCAAATATTGCCACATAGTGAGGTAGATATGTGGGGGCGTGTTAGAACGAGCCATTTTAGGGGGGCGTGGCAGAGTCTTAACTTTGATAAAGAATATCTCTTTGGTTTTGAGACTTTAGTCTTTGCAACTTCAGGGATCTTATCTATGCACAATCAGCTTGTAACACTCCAAAGAGAAAGGAAAACTTGAATTCGCATCACATGACCCCTTTAAATAAATGAGTTATGTGTTAAATATTTGTTATGCTTCCTGGATGTTACAAACACACACTCATGCATTGTGAACATGTAGAATTATCCTCATTCTAAAAATAATTTTAGAATGAGATGATGTAGATCTTCTAAAAAATTTTTTTTGAACATTCAAATTTTCTAGTATTTCAGACATTCTATCATTCTAATTTTCCTGAACATTCAAATGTTAGTTGTAGCAGATATTCAACAAATCTCTTGTTTGAACATGGAAATGTTTTGGATGTTGGAAACATTCTAAAACTCTCTCTTTTGCCCTGAACATTTAAACATATTACAATTATGTTTTTTGAACATTCAAATGTTCCAGATATTGCAAACAGTCTAAAATGGAAGTTGATCATTGGAAATGGTGAACCTCATTAGCAGATGTGGCCATGACTGAATTTGTGACTCAGTGTTGGGATGATGGCATGTCAGATTCCTTCACAATCTGTCACTGTAGAGATGCTGCTTGGGTTTTTCTTTCTGTATGTGAGGTGTTATAACATGTTACCATGGTGATGGTGTTTGTCATCTGCTTAAAATGCTTGCAGCAGAGTTTGTTACCACTGTTTTGTTTTTCTGTTGCATCATATAACTCTACACCACACACATTTTCTCTCCAAGTAGAATGCCCCTTGTCTTTGTTATGTAACTAAAGGTCATATTCACAATGTTTTCCTGGAAAATATCCTTTTACATATTCTGGAAAACTGTTGTCACAAATTACAGTTTGTCCCCTTTAAAGTTACACAAGCCTACTAAGGACAAACTTTAAGTAGGTTAACAATGAATGACTAATGTAATTACTTTTAATAATGTTTTCTCTTTTTCTTTGAGGGCTCTTTTTGACTATGGCGACTATGGGGGAGGACTCAGGTCCCAGTGCCCCTACTGATACCACAGGCTCCGCCTCCAGTCCACAGAGTGACGTCGTAACCAATGAGCTGCAAGAACTGTCTCTTCAGCCCGCCCCCAACTTACTTCCTATTCATGAGAGGAAGAATGGTGAGCTTAATGTATAGTGCAAAAATGATTACATAATAAATCTATAGACACAGAATCTCCAATAACTCAGACTGTTTGGCTGGTTCGATAAAAACGAACTCTGGTGCGATTGCTCTGTTAGTGCGGTTCGTTTGAGTAAGTGTGAACACTGCCATCCGAACCCTGGTGTGCACCAAACAAGCGGACCGAAAAAAGATGGGTCTCGGTCCGGTTCCAAACGAACTCTGGTGCAGTTCGAATGAAATATGAATGCAACACAGACCAAATACTTTTAAACGAACCAAAAACAGGAAGTAATGACAAGATGCGATGCTATGTGACATGATTTGACGATGCGGAACGAGCGGTGTATCCAAAACAAAAAGAGCAGAGGGCAAACGTGGAGCAACGAGGAGCTCTTCGAGAGTTTGCAGGTGGTGAAAATAAAATCATAAGTACGCGCAGCAATGAGCGCGCTTAGTCCAGCAGACGGCATTAGGTGTGTTCGACTTAAAGTGGCTCTGAGCCGACCAATCGGTGAAGGATGTCATGCTTTAAGTCGAACACAGCTTTTGTTTGGGGTGTTCGGTGATTTCTGTCACGAAAAATATGTCATTCAACCCAACCAATCCGGTTGTGAACGGATCACTATGCCTTTAGGTTCGGTATCTTTAGGTTTGCTGTCAAAAATGTCAGTGTGAACGCTCAGTGGACCAGGACCAAATGTATCATTTTCTCTTTTGGTCCGGACCAAACGAACCAAGAGAACTGAACTACACGTGTGAACGCACCCTCCTGTTTTTTCAATTGACCATTTTTGTGATAAAGCTTAGCTTCACTTAATTACAAATACCAATAAGATAAATGTCCCATTATTTTCTGAATTACAGTAACTGACTCAAGAAACCTTTCCGATGTTTAAATAGTATCGAAAACCTTTTTATTAATTTTTTTATAGTAATCTAGAGCCAAATTTGTTACTAAGCGCAGAGTGTCTAATCTTTACAATCATATCACTATGGTAAAATCATAGTAATGTGCAGTGGGGCTGTCAAAAAAAAAATCGAATTTCGAATATTCGTCAAATTTAAAATAATAATCTACATTTGAATGCAAAAACGTTGCATTCGAATTTAAGGTGTGCGTTAAGGAGGCAGCCTTATCAGTGGCGCACAAGGTGCGATGACGATGTAAGTGTCGTTGCATAATGTATTTGTTAGCCTATCCAGTTGAGGCCACTAGATGCGGTGCTGCTGCGTTGTTCATTAAAAATATTGTGGAAAAAGACAACATCAATGCGGAGAAGATCTTGTTTACATCAAAACTGAAACCAAGCCGTTCACACAGAACACATATTTTGCACATTTTCTAGAGGGATATCTATCACTGTTGCACTCGCACAAAGGAGCCGCGTGTTTAGAAAGCCATGTAAAATTAATGCAAGTTTAACTTTGTAAAAAAAAAAACATATATCGAGACTTTATGGCTGGTTTTTTCCCCATCCCACTGCATCTCATGTTTTTTTAATGAAAAATGTACTCTGTGTGATTGGCTTTCCACCCTTTGTATTAAACTGTGCATACATACATGATGCTGTTTTGTTTATATGAGCAAAATCACTCGAGTACGAGAGTGATACTGCGTTTATACAACAGTTCGACGGAACATGTGTGTAATTAAACAAGAAACAACGGAGTGCCTAAAAAAACCCTCTTTTTTGCGGAACTACTTCCTTCCGCCACGGATTCAAAGCTCAAGTTGACAGTTAAACATACGTCACTTTTAGAGTTCGTATCAAGGGCATGTGTTGCTTCAGTTAGGTTATTAGTGAGAAATAATGAGGTTATAAGTGTCACGAATTCGGTCCATTGACTTCCGTTTATTCACCACCAGAGGTCACCCTTTCCATTACATTGACTCTCGCACTACACAAACTGTTGCATAGCACCCCGGACTACATATCCCATCATTCTTTGCACGATTTGCACACTGCCCTGATGATCTGCTGTGATGTGACGAGGCTCTGGCAGATCAGCTGAGACTTGACTAAACAATACTCAGCAGAGAATGGTGGTTTGAGTGGGTGTTATATAGTGAGTGAGGTGATTAGAAACAGCTGTGTGCAATGAGTGCAATCAGGGCAGTGTGCAAATCGTGCAAAGAATGATGGGATATGTAGTCCGGGGTACTATGCAACAGTTTGTGTAGTGCGAGAGTCAATGTAATGGAAAGGGTGACCTCTGGTCGTGAATAAACGGAAGTCCATGGACCGAATTCATGACAATAAGAGAGAAACAATGCGGCAAGATGTGCATCCAAATGAGAGAGAGAGAGACCGCGAAGCTAGACGTTTCTTCTTATATTAACTAACATACTCTACGATTAGCTCAGTGAATAATTAAAAAAAAACATAGACCCGGCTAGAACAAGCGGAGTGATACAAAATTGTGAAAGGGCATTCCTGTAGCGATACCAGCACAATATCTCACGGTTCTCAACCAATCAGATTTGAGAACCAGAACGAACAGTTGTATAAAGTTGTTTAAGCAACTTAATTAATTATAATGGGTTTATAAACATTATTTTAAACATTATGCACTTTTTTCACAGATAGTCATATTATCTTATGCTTTGAATAAATGTGCATTAGTAATATTTTGCTCGATGCGCCCTCTTGTGGCCTCAGAAGCTAAAAGCTTTTCTTCACCCTAACTGAAGTTATGCATTTTAAATTTGAATATAATTCGAATTTTGATCATATTTAAGTACAAAATTTGAATTGAGTTTTTCAGCCATTTTGACAGCCCTAATGTGCAGCTTAGAGTTGCTTATTGCTTTTATAAATTTAACTTTAGTAATAATTTCTTGTTCAAAATTAGATAAACATACTGTACGCTGTTTATTGTTACCAATCAACTTGCATATACTGTAGAGTTGAGCTGATGGTCTAACGTTAACTTTTTGCCACACTACCCAATGACGGGTGAATTGAGAAAACTGATTTGCTGTAAATATATATTGCCACACTGGAATTATTTAGCTGTTTTTCCTTATATAGGCCTATTTCTGACAATCAGTGCAGGTCATCGTGCTGCGAGCTGCATAATACAGTACATAAGATGAGTCAGTCTCCATTGCTCTGTGAAAAGCCGCCTGTCAGAACAACGCTAGGGCTGATTTTGTTCCTCATATTTTTGTCTGGTTGGCTTAATGAGAAGAATTTTTCACATATATGGCAGTGTCACCACATGGAATTATGGAGGAAATAAAACTTAAGACATCCTAGATAAGCTTCTGATGGTCAGTTTTCCACCAAAAATGCAAAAGAAGTGAGGTAAGATTTATTTTAGACAACGCATTACGTTGCCGGTCTTTTGTAAACCTATAGTAGCCAATTGGCAAGGAATATTATTCTCTTTTAGTGTATTTTATTCTCATCAGATGCTGATCTTGGACCCTCTATGTGCAATCACGGAATTTAAAAATAGTTATTTTTTTAAATAATTGCTAAAAATCATGGTAACACTTCACAATACGGTTCCATTTGTTAACATTAGTTAACTACATTAACTGTAAAGCGTTTATTAATCTCAGTTTAAGCTAATTTTAGTATTTGCTAATATATTATTAGAATCAAAAATATAACATTATTTAAAAGACCTGAGCTAACGTTAACTAATAATGAACAGCTGTAGTTTTATTAATTAACATTAACAAAGATGAATAAATTCTGTAACAAATGTATTGCTTGTTTTAATGTTAGTTAATTGCATCAAGACAGAGTTCATCAAAAAATGAAAAAATTGTCATCATTTGTTGAACGCAAAATAAAGTATTTTAAAGAATGTTGGTAACCAAACAGTTGCCCTTAGCCATTGACTTCCATAGTATTTTTTTCTCCATACTATGGAAGTCAGTGGCTACCTGCAACAGTTTGGTTACCAACATTCTTCAAAGTATCTTCTTTTGTGTTCAACAGCTTACGGGTGAGTAAATGATGACGTCATTTTCATTTTTGGGTAAATTATCCCTTTAAGTAATGGACCTGATTGTAAAGTGTTACCAAAATGAGAACAAATAAATTTACTTTCACTAACATAGACACAATGTTATGATTTGATATGATATGATAGGCGAAATGTTATGATTCGAAAACTTGCACATACTCACACATGGTTAAGCTGTGTTTAGCATATGGTGACCAGCCCTTGGCTAATAATGGTTTCTAGGTTTATTTTGTTTCACTAATCTTTGTAAACACCCACACTCACATCCCACAAGCTCTGAATATGAAAGACTGAAATTCAGATTGAAAATCTAGTTGTATCTGTGAGGGGCCACTACTGCCACCCAGTGGATCTTATCAGCACTTTGGTCAATTTTTATTTATTTTTTTATCCTGGAAAAGTCTGAAATCACTTACACTAATCTACACACTCTGGCAAGTGAGTAGTCATTTAGCAGATGCTTTTAACCAACCGTGAGCGACCTGATTTTAAGTGCCTCGTTCAGGCTAATGGATTGGCCCTGGTGAGAAGGGTCTGGCTGCAGACATGCACTCTACTCTGTCTGCAATGTCACTTGCACTTTCTGTACTGGAACTGGAAATTAGTTGCATAATGTTGTATTAGAGTTTGGTACTTATTGCTTCCATTATATGTATGACTTGTCAGACTTCTTTAAAATTATTTTGAAATAAACATAATTGTTTCAGCATTCAGCAATGAAACTCACGGCGATATGTGTGTTTACAGAAGACATGGTGTATGCTCTGTCCATATGCTGTACAGTCAAGCCAAAAATAATATTTGGACACTTTTTTATATTTTTTTGTTATCTTATCCAGTGCCATTAATTTTCTAAGTGTACATTTCAGTTGTTGTCTGAATAATTTTTGGGGGCGACTCTGTTTGGCCATATTGCAGGGCTGCCATTGTGATGATTGTTTTGGACCTCAGATGGCAGAGACTGTTATTTTAATAATATTTATATACTATTGTAGTATTTATTAATATTTTGTT